CGGGTTGTGGGCGAGCCGTCAGCGGAGGCGATATCGCGCGGCGAGTCGCGGATGGGTCGTGGGGCAGGTCACGGGCGGGTCTCGGGGCGAGACGCGGGTGAGTCTCGGACGAGTCACGGGTGGGTCGCGGGGCGTAGCGCGAGGCGGGTCGGGGTGGGTGACGGGACAAATCGCGGATGGGTCGCGGGGCGGAGGCCTGCAACAAGAGCATGAATCCACACTGCGGAACCGCACTTCAGCCACTCACGCAGGAAGTGTAAGACAGCTCGGCCGCCGCAAAAAAAAATATGAATATATACATAAATGAATATCTGTATTTATATATATATATATACATACAAGACTGCATTGGCGCTCCGCGCCATACACTTTGGTCTTTCAGGCTTGGCACGCAGGCAGGGAGACAATAAGGTACAACGGACCCTTTAGCGACAACTCGTTGTTGCCATTTATGGCATCGTCGCTGCAATAGTGTTATAGGTTATTCGGTATCACTCCCTCATGCTTTCTCTTCCTCTTCCTCATTCCTACCCTACTTTGCGAACTCGCCATCCGCGGCTATTCTTTTGGAGGCTCATCCTAGGAGAGCCTCTTGTAAGTTCCACGAAGGTTTTTACCTAACAGCGAAGACTGATAGGTTTCTAGTGGGATCAAAAGAGAGCAGCAGATCACTCCACAGGGGGGTCCGGGCAGGTGTTGGGAGTTGCCGGGCGGCAGGTGCCGGGCTCGTTTTTCACCAACAGTCACACACTTCGTGCTCTTCGACTTCCCAGAACTCCATTCCCAGGCCACATTCTCAATACCCGGATGCAACAGTCACACACTTCGTGCTCTTCGAGATCCCAGAACGCCATTTCCGGGCCACATTTAGAATAACCGGATGCAACAGTCACACACTTCGTGCTCTTCGAGTTCCCAGAACTCCATTCCCGGGCCACATTCTGGAGGGCCGGATGCAACAGTCACACACTTCGTGCTCTTCGAGTTCCCAGAACTCCATTCCCGGGCCACATTTTGGAGGGCCGGATGCAACAGTCACACACTTCGTGCTCTTCGAGTTCCCAGAACTCCATTCCCGGGCCACATTTTGGATGCCCGGAGCCAACTGTAGGCCACTTCGTGCTCTTCGAGTTCCCAGAACTCCATTCCGGGGCCACATTTTGAATGCCCGGAGCCAACTGTAGGCAACTTCGTGCTCTTCGAGTTCCCAGAACTCCATTCCCGGGCCACATTTTGAATGCCCGTAGCCAACTGTAGGCAACTTCGTGCTCTTCGACTTCCCAGAACTCCAATTCCTGGGCCACATTTTCAGCAGGGGCAAGAGCACGACGAGGAGGAGGACGAGCAAGACCAGGAGGACGAGGACGAGCAGGAGCAGGACGAGGAGCAGGAGGAGCAGGAGAAGAAGGACGAGCAGGAGGAGGAGGAGGAGGACGAGCAGGGGGAGGAGGACGACCAGGAGGAGGAGGACGACCAGGAAGAGGAGGAGGAGGAGGAGGAGGAGGGGAGGGGGAGGAGTACCAGGAGGAGGAGGAGGAGGAGGAGGAGGAGGAGGAGGAGGAGGAGGAGGAAGAGGAGGAGGAGGAGGAGGAGGACGAGGACGAGGAGGAGGAGGAGGAGGAGGGGGGGGAGAGTACCAGGAGGAGGAGAACGAGGACCACCAGGAGGAGGAGGAGGAGGAGGAGGAGGAGGAGGAGGAGGAGGAGGAGAGAACACCAGGAGGAGGAGGACGAGCAAGACGAGGAGGACGAGAACGAGGACGACCAGGAAGAGGAGGAGGAGGAGGAGGAGGGGAGGGGGAGGACTACCAGGAGGAGGAGGAGGAGGAGGAGGAGGAGGAGGAAGAGGAGGAGGAGGACGAGGAGGAGGAGGAGGAGGACGAGGAGGAGGAGGGGGGGGGGAGAGCACCAGGAGGAGGAGAACGAGGACCACCAGGAGGAGGAGGAGGAGGAGGAGGAGGAGGAGGAGGACGAGAGAGCACCAGGAGGAGGAGGACGAGCAAGACGAGGAGGACGAGAACGAGGACGAGCAGGAGGAAGAGGAGGAGGAGGAGGAGCAGGAGGGAGCAGGAGAAAGAGAGGAGGAGGAGGAGGAGGAGGAGGCAGGCCTGAGGCTGAGGGCTGTGACTGCGACTGCGGCGCCGCTGCGACTGTCCATCGCGAATGCGACTCGACTGCGAGAACAGGCAGAATTCGACAACTGGATTTTCATCTGAATCTTAAGGGGAATGCTTTCAGATATGCTTCTACACATCGCTGTTAGGTTGCTTTGCCGGGATAATTATAATGGCTCGTTGCGGCCTTCTGGAAGCCTCCTGGGTTCCTCCTGGGGGCCACTGGGGGCTTCCCCGGCCCACCCTGCTTCCGACCGCGGTCGCCCTGAACGACTGGGTCACGATTTGGAATGACTCGGGCGGCGTCTTAGGGCCATCTAAGGCCGTCATGGGGCTCTCGTCGGGGCAGCTTGGGGCCCTGTTGGGCCGTCTTGGGGCTCCTCTTGGACTGCCTGGAAGCCCTCTTGATTAGATCTGGGGCGATGCTCTGGCCTCCCAGGCAGTCTCGGACGCCCGGAAGACCGAAGAACTGGGCATTCCCAAAATCATGCAGAAACCATCGGGAATCCATATTTTGTGCGTTTCGAATGCCTCTTGGGGGTCTTCTTTGAGTCGACTTCGAACGTCTGGTGGGTGTCTGGGGCCTCTGTGGGCTCTCGCGGGGCCGTCCGGCCGCCCTCCTGACCGATTTGGGCCAGCTGCCTAGGCCCAGCAAAGGCTTTAGGAGCCCCGGAAAGCACAGGGGACCGACTGTAAGGGCGTCCAGGGTGCCCCCGGGGCCAAGGATCCAGAGGGGTCCCGTTTGGGGGGGGGGTCGCAGGGTCCCAGATTATGAAAATACAGAAAGGGAATATGTGTATCTGCCACGCGCGAATGCTGGCTGCACGCCAGGCAGGGGAGGACACGTTAGCCTGCAAAAAAACAATAAAATTAGGTCAGACATGTCCTCCTACAGTCAGATCTCGAAAAGAAAATAAAACATAGCAAACAAATAAATCACAAATCGTCAAAATGAGCACGACAAATCGTCAACAGACTTTGTTTTGACTAGTATTGAATATTCTTCCTTGTCTTGACTATTTTTGAGTTTTGCCCGATTTCATCGTAGAAGTGGAAGTGGAGGATTGAGGAGCACGAGATGTCTGGATGCCGCAGCAGGTCAGTGATCGAACTTCGAAGGGCGAAGGCTGAACCGGATGTCCTGGCCCGCAACGACCGTGCACGGGAGCACAAGCATAGGGAGGAGGACGACGAGGAGGACGAGGAGGAGGAGGAGGAGAAGGAGGAGAAGGAGGAGGACGACGACGACCACGAGGACGACGACGACGACGACGACGACGACGA